ATACATATACATATACACATATACATTTACATACATACATACAAACATATATATATATATATATGTATGTAATCTCCTACCCGTGTTCGTCCATGGCTTCTTCGGGAGCGCTGCAGCTGAGTTCTATGCATGTGCCACTTTTGCGTGTTACTCTTTTGACGGTGTCGTATTCTTCCAGGTCTATCACAGCCAAAGGCGTTGCGTCGGAGTCGTTGTCTCTGGAAATGGCGTAAATAATAACCCAGTTTGGCATAAGAAAAACCGAGTTTACATAGCCGAACCGATTCCAAGACGCTGTCTCATTCCTTAAGATATACAACTGCGATTACAACATACGTAGACCAATACATCAGAACCAGTCATCCCGGCTGCAATGTTTTATGTATAAACCACCTAAAATAACTGAGGTAATTCTCTTAATAAACATACCTAAAATAGCTGAGGCTATAAATAGATATACCTAAAATAGCTGAGGCTTTAAATAGATATACCTAAAATAGCTGAGGTAATTCTATAAATAAACATACCTAATATAGCTGAGGCAATTCTATAAATAGACATACCTAAAATAACTGAGATAATTCTGCTCCAATACAAAATATCTGCGTCGCCAGCTTCGCATGTTTACAGAGCTTTCCTTATTTAGGAATCCCATATATAGCGGCTCGTTTATTTGGGATATACACCTATCCACAAAATCGGGTGTTTTGGCCAAATCTTTGCCCCGATTGAGTTTTCCGGACCGTTGCTGTTCCTTTTTGTCCAAAACTGGGACACTGAGTTGCAATACCGGCGACAAACTCCCGTCTGTAAACGTTTGAACGTATGAGTTGGTGCATCGATTGTGTATATAAACACTCACACGTAGCTGAACTTATGTGCATGCGCGTGTATGTTCACGTGGGTATTGCACTGACGTGTGCATGGGTGCTTGTGCATGCTCGTGATTTCGTAGATGTAGCTGCACTTGTTAGCGTACGTGTATGCGTAACTCTGCAGGTGTAAGTTTTCGTACGTGTGTTTGAATGTGTGTATGTATATCAGTAATTGTATTTGTCCATATCTACGTATTCATGTGCACATGTTCGTATACGTTTTCAGGTGTGCGTATTCATGTGTACATGTTCGTATACATTTTTGTGCCTGCGTGCGTGCTTGCTGTATGCCCTCTACGGGCGTGCGCAATATCCGTATATATACATGTGTGTATATTTAAAGTGTGTATATTTAATGTGTGTATATGTATATGTGTATATTTAATGTGTGTACATGTACATGTGTGTATATTTAATGTGCGTATATTTAATGTGTGTATATGTACATGTGTGCATATTTAATGTGTGTATATGTACATGTGTGCATATTTAATGTGTATATGTACATGTGTGTATATTTAAAGTGTGTATATTTAATGTGTGTATATGTACATGTGTGTATATTTAATGTGTTTATATTTTATGTGTGTATATTTAATGTGTGTATATGTACATGTGTATATATTTATTGTGTGTACATGTAATTGTGTGTATAATTAATGCGTGTATATGTATATGTGTGTATATTTAATGTGTGTATATTTAAATGTGTGTATATGTACATGTGTATATATTTAATGTGTGTACATGTACATGTGTGTATAATTAATGCGTGTATATGTACATGTGTGTATATTTAATGTGTGTATATTTAATGTGTGTATATGTACATGTGTATATATGTACATGTGTGCATATTTAATGTGTGTATATGTACATGTGTGTTTATTTAATGTGTGTATATTTAATGTGTGTATTGGGGTTTATATATTCATCTTAAACTTACAAACGAACGAAACTTATGCGACCATCCCACACGAATACGCGGCAGGTTGTATATAGGTCGCAAATAGGTTTACAAACATACGAAATTCATCTTAAATAGGTTTGAAAACATACTAAGCTCACCTAGATTAGGCTTAAAAAACATACTAAGTTCACCTTAAATAGGGTTAAAAACCCTAAACAAACAGTACAGGAGCAAGCACACCTTCCGCACTATATCTGCCCTCTGCCTCCGGAATCTCCGGAATCTCCCCAAAACTGGTCGATTTACCAGTAGAGCCCACTGTGGTAAGAGTTAAACGAGCGAAGAATAGGCTATCAATAAGCTATTCCTATAGATAGAATATGGAAACTTGCCCATACTCATGCCGTGCCCGGTGTATAGGGGGCGTAGGCGAAAAGAAAACACACATCTATTTATAGATGCTATATCTACTAAATGATGATACATCTATAGACAGATTGTACATCTATAAATAGATGTTACATCTATAAATAGATTTTACATCTATAAATAGATTTTACATCTATAAATAGATTTTATATTTATAAATAGATTTTACATCTATAAACAGATTTTACATCTATGAATAGATTGTACACGGGACTGATAGGCCCGTGGTATGTGCAGTTGAGCGGCTTCAGATGTGATACCAACCCACAAAACAAATGGGAAGTTAACTCGAACAGTGAGAAATTGGCTGATGTACTCAGTTCACCCAAAGTCAGGCAATTATACGGGGAACGAATATCCACGGATGCGATGCCAAATCTATAAATAGCCACGGATGAGGTGGTGCCAAATCCATATATGGTCATGGATGAGTGACAAATCTATAAATAGCTACGGATAATATATATATATATACATATACGTATACATATATACACATACATAAACTACAACAATACATACAGATAGACACACATAGAAGCCCATTCAACCCTCCAGCAACACATCATACCCCTTCCTAGCTGTCGCTTCTTGAATTCTTTGCCGCTCTTGTAGTTGGGTTTAGGACTACCAGCCCTGCCCACAAGACTCAGTGTGCGGTTCAATCCTGCCCTCGCCTGTTGATCGAACTTAAGTCCCGCTTGTGTGGGGAAGAAGCTCTCCATATACGAACGGATTTCTTTGTCTGAGAGGTGAAGGTAGGTAGATAAAGTAAGAGAGGTAGGTAGAATAAGGCCTTTGCCCAGAAAACTTGGGTTTTAGGGCCGGGTTTCATAGATTCGGGATCTAGGTTTACGTCACTTTTATATACATACTACATACATACATACATACATACATACATAAATAAATACAAACATAGATGCATACATACATACATATACACATCCATACATACATACATACAAACATCGATGCATACGTACCCACATACATGCATACGTGTATATATACTTACAAACATACATACATATATACAAACATACAAGCATATATATACATACGTACGTACACGTTGTAGCTGCGTGACAGCTGTTTGGTGATGTCGTCGATTTGCATGTACAGGTACAAACACACACATATATATATATATATACATACAAACACAAACATACACATACACACATACACACACACACATCCCCATGCACAACACACCTTTTACATTGGTAGAGGGTGATGAGGGCAGGTACACGTCATAGCTGCGTGACAGCTGTTTGGTGATGTCGTCTATCTGTTTGCGATAGTCTGGTGGTAAGTTGAGTCGCAGCAGCTGCAGCGCTGAGTAGAACTTCTGCACCGGCGTAGACAGATCCAATTGGTCTGGGTCTACGGTGGCATCCGAGTTTGTGGCTTTCCGGTAGACTGAGCGCCCATGAGAAGGGGTTTACAAATAGAACATGGATGTAGGTAAGTAGGTTTAGGCGGGTGTGGGGGTATGGTAAGGTTCGAGGGGAGGAGCAGGTGCGGTGTGTAGGTAGAGATGTGTAGACACGTACGGGGACGCCTATGCCGGTGGAGTTAGGGTTGGCTGTAAGCGAATAAGAGAAACATATGTATACATACACTGAAGAGAAAAATACACCCACATCAAATTCAGAAACATATATTATATACACATGAAACAAACATATATACATACATCATGTACAGAAACATTATATAATATATATATATATATATATATATGTATATATATGTATATATATATATATATATAAATATATATGTATAAATATATATGTATATATATATATATAAGCCGCCATCTATCACTTCTTCGTAGATGGGAAGATATAGATTCAGAGTTTCTTATGTGTAGATATACGTCAGTATAATCTAAGACGTTCAAATATACTCTCAGGCAATGATATGAGGTATTAAACGTTTATTGTCAAAGTGTTCGAAAGATAGACCCACGTCCGTAGACCGATGTATTGTAGAAACAAATAATTATACGTATATACCTATGTATATACAACACAAGATATATACAACTTAAAAACATGGTTATATACCTAGATATATATATATATATATATATATACATGGAGATATACATAGATATATATATATATATGGATATATACATAGATATATATATATAAATACATAGATACAAAAAAATTATACGTGCATATATACATTCAAACATATATACAAAGAAAGGTAGATACATACATCAAAACACACATATACGTACCTTGATCTTAACACACATACATACTTTGATCTTAACATACATACATACCTTGACGTTAACATACATACATACCTTAACCTTAACATACATACATCCTTAACCTTAACATACATACATACCTTAACCTGAACATACATACATACCTTAACCTTAACATACATACCTTGTCTTAACATGCATACATACCTTGGTGTTAAGATACACACATACCTTTAATCTTGCTTGATGCAGAGTCGGAGCCTTCGCCCTCGTCACCTGAGCTGTTCGATCGACTATCTTCGCGTGAGCGAGAATTCAAACTAGTGCTACTGTTGTATCCCGACAAGCCATTCTTCTTAATGCCCTGCAGTGTTCGCCTACAAAACGGGATAAGTATGTGTACATGTATATGAATATGTGTATGTATATGTATATGTATATGTATATGTATATGTATATGTATATGTATATGTATATGTATATGTATATGTGTATGTGTGTGTATATGTATATGTATATGTATATGTATATGTATAAATATAGTTATATGTATATATATATGTATAAATAGTTATATGTACATGTATATGTATTTGTATATATATATATATATAAATACTAGGCATATGTATATGTTACTCGAGGCAGCATAAGTTACTTGGGGCAGCAGTTTATATATGACCCGTATATCGTTGGACTTTATGCAAGTTTTATCTAAATATGCCGTTGTCCCAATAATGCTTCAA